GTATGTAAGGAAATAAATGCGACGTACTGTTTTAAAATACTTATATATATTTTTGAACGATGTAAATAATAAAAATAGTGGTCGACGTTATATCACTATGAAAATAAAATACAACCGATAAATGCAGTACATTTATAGAATCCTTATCTCACAAGATATACATAGTTTAAACGTGTTATCAAATAAAATACTAGAAATGTATGTTTTAGACAGATCAGATATTTAACACTCATGTAATTGTTAACATTTATAATTTCATGAAACAACAATAAATCTTTTTATAATTGGGATCCATAGAAGTTCAATAATTAATTCTTGGTAACAGAACACATAAATTTTAAAAACACAACACGTTTATAGGACATAATTCTTCTCGTTCAATATATGTACACGGATTTTAAAAAAAGTCGTCAGTTGGCGTTCAAAGTAGTGGTACGATATTAAAATATATGCGTAATCTTACTTAGCACCAGGTCTTTTTTTTTTTTAATTATGTAAAATCTTCTAGTTGCAAATTGATCTATTATTCATATGTTTTTCTTTTCTTTTACTGAATCGTACATTGGACTGAGGGCAGCCATTGATATATCTTAAAATGTTTTAATGAAACATCTTTGGTTCGTATCTCCATATTTTCTGGTAAGGTGTACCAGTTGTTTTAGTAGATAACGTTCAAACCTTTCTTCGCCGCGATCGGTAATTTCTCACCTTGGAAAAACGGATTTTCTTTCTGAAATAAATCGGGAAGATTTTATTATTATTTAATGCATGATTATTATTTTTTAAATTTCGTAATTTAAATTTAAAAATTTACTATTTTTATCACAAATATATCCACTGTTAATGGCGATTGTTTCTATTAATAATCTATTAATTACAGTATCTGTAAAAATTAAAATTACAATATCTTTCTTATAATTTTATCACTAACTATTATTTTAGTTTTAGATATATCAAATATGAAGAAGATATTGTCATTGACTGAAAATAAAAAAATTGATAGAATGATATTACAGTAATTCTCAAATATGTAATTCAACTTAAATAGGGAATAATGAAAATATTATTTACTGCTTGAAATAGATCCACGATTTGGTTAAAATTGGAGTTAGGCATTTGCATATTTGGTAGACTGTTGGTGTTCGTTGAGTCAGCGGAACAATCCAACATATGTTGCTTGTCACACATGCAATCCTGCGCGCTTTGGTAGTCTCGACTGAATGCTGCTGTATTCTCGAAATTCACGATGCAGTTGTTCTCCTCTGTACAATCATAACTTAAATGAATTTTCTGATCAATGTAAAAAAAATGTTACTACACATTTCTATTTTTCTTTAAAGTAATTCTTATTACATGTTTCTTCATTTATAATTCCTTTATGAAAACAGGAAAATTGAATAGAATTTCCATTATTCATAACGCTATTCATATTTTTCAACAATTTATCTCTATTTTCAATTACAAATTTTGATTATATTAAAAACTCGATACCTACAGCTGAAAACAAGTCAGTTACCTGTGTATCCAACAGGGCAAGGATTCGGCGGTGTACAGTAAGCAGGCAAAGTGTTCTCTTTCTCGTCCTTCAAGTACTTTACACTTCCAGGCTTGACTCTCAGTCTATCGTTCACTTTATCATTATTGTTCACACGTTGATGGCTCCACAACGTGCTATGCTGCAGATACTCTTGATCACGAATGCTGGGATTAGGGTTCAACGTATCGATCCCGTCGTAATCAGCGGGCAATTCAATAGGAATCTCCTTTGGTTTGTCTTGGTATTCCAGATAGGAATCAGCTGCGTCCACCAGTTTATTTCCCATTTGGTTGATTAATTCACGGAGGAGAGTGTCGGTCAATAATTGATCCTCCTATTGTTTGTTCGAAATTGTATAATAAGTGTATAAAAAAATTATAAAATGTAAAAATGCATCGAAAATATTACCTTAATTGAAGGAGGCAGGTAGACTGATGCTTGAATGGCAACAGCCATGGAAAGAAGGAGGATCCAATACATGATTTTAAACGACACTTGAGGTATCTGGAAAATAGCAATTAATGATCTGTATGAAATTTTCCGTGTTAATTGAATGCAGATTGGAAATTTGGATGACGTAAATCGAAATTTAGAAGTGCTACAATAATTTACAGAAACCTTTTTGTAACAACTATGCAATTTTTATCGTCATTATAATTCGAAACTGAAGTGGTTCCGATTCGATCCTTTCATGGCAAACATAAATAGAATTTGGTGCTCTTAAACTTCAGCTACCTTTTTCTCAACACCCTATAACAATTACCTAATTATATTACACAACATATATACGCATACATCGTAAAGTTAGATTTGCCTCATATAAGAATCACTTCGTTTTTTCAATTACATCAAATATTCATCCATAAATCACCAAACACGTTCTCAATAAGAACAACCTAATCGTTATCATTTGTTCGCATTAAAAAGCAAACGAAACTGCACCATCTTTCGAAAATTTTCCCGAAAACATTCTACTCACACAACGCGAAATAATCCCACAAACACCCACCCAAATCTCCACCAATAGCAATTAATCCGACGCACGAGATCCAAGCGAAACAACACCCAGTATCGAATACGCGAAATCAAACGCAACAATCTGCCGTAGCTTTCAATGCAAACAACCGTTATCGACCGTCAACCCTTTCTCAGGTAGAACAAACCAATTGTTTATCGTGTCGATGTTTCGATTCCCGTTGAAAATAGCGAAACAGATTCAGGAAACGACGAAGCACAGAAATACATATTCGAGGAAAGTGTCGGAAGAGAACTTACCAGGTTTTGTGAAATAATCGCGAGAAGGGACGTGCAAAGAGATTCTCGAGGAGATTTCACGAGTGTTGGGGGGTGCTCAGTTGACGGCGCGCGCGCATCTTTGCCGACCGGCAGCGCGGCGCTGCAGAGCAGGTCCGCGGTATTGATCGACGGTTCCCGCGTCGGTATTCCCCCGCGTTTCATTGGCCACCGCACACCGCCTACGATCCGCTCCCGCAACCCACATTCGTAAAACCAAGTTACGAGCAAAGGTCGGCCCTCGGCCGAGTCTCATGACGTCGTTTCTGCGATTAAGGATGAGTATCTGGCTCCGTGATAATTTCTCCACGAGATTCTAGTATTCCTGCCTTTCGGTGAACGAGTTCAGGCTACACCGAAGAGTTTTCGACTCTGGGATACGATATTGGATCGTTGTACTTTGTGTAGCGAACATATATGTACAGTGGGCCGCATTAATATTCGGACACCGTGGTACTTGAGAAATTTTTGCCATATACCTTTATTGTTTGTGGAATTAATGAACACGGTGTTTTTTAATAAGTCAGAACACTTATTTTAAAGGATAAGAACATAACTGTTATTTGCATAATTTATACACTTTTCTTGTTAATCAATGTTAAATGAAATAATGTTTAATTTTGACGTCGCAAAAATATACAGACATTCTATACGCTTCGTAGTTGACCGTCTCCTTGAGCCGAGTACGTTACTTTGTAGCAATGTTTGTAAACATCATACAGTAAGATGTAAGCACTACCTCGTAGAGTTAGTTTCATTTTACATATACCTTGTTCGTATCGCACGTATTAGTTGTGAAAATGCCACGTAAAGGAAAAAATACGTCGTTTAATATACGTCAACTAGTTATTTATAATCGCGAAAAGGGGAAATCATATAGAGAAATCAGTAAATTATTAAATTTGAGCAAGAGTACTATTGCGGACAGAATTATCTGCAACTGCAACCAAGCGATTTAAATACCAACTTTTTTAATTTTACAGTTTTTTGTGACGTTCGAAAGGAAATACCAAAACACTTCTTTAGAAACGCAATTTTAAAAAATTGACATTTATAAAAGCTTCACATTTACTGTGTCATAGTTTATTTAACATTATTCAATTAAACAAATGTTTTAAATTAATATTAATACCTTTTCTAGTAAAATATCATTTTTGTCACGGAGTAAAATTTATTCAAACAATTTATTCTATATCTTCATCTTTTAACTTCATATATTACATAATAACGTATCTCTCGGCCCTTCTTCTCTATAATCACATTTCTCCAATTTCCAATAATGTTCCAAAAATAATTAACAATAATTCCAAGCTCAGACAAGCTTCAATCTTCTTCTCCAATTTTCCAAACAAACTGTATCTTTAATATTTCCCAATATGCAACTTCACCACAGAAAAAGAAATTGTTTCACGAAAATGTTGTCGAAGAAGATTTCTACAAAGGGTTCCGCATTGAAATTGATAGGCCGTGGAAGTGTACCCTTTCCTTTCGTTGAATATTAGCGACGGAATGGGCTAAAGTGCAAAATGGAAGCTGCGATTTTCAAGGGAGGGCCATCGAGATCAAAAGACCAACCGGGCTACATTATGGTCGTATATAAACGTCCATTAATAATTGTTTCGCTTTGCATACTTCCAACTCAATTTCTGAAATCGAATTGCCATCGTGTTACAGGCCACCGACGAAAATTGCTCTCTTTATTGAATCATGTTCTCGCGAGGAGGAACATCTCGTCCCGGCTACAAATCATCCTGTTAAATCGAGCAAACGTGTATACTTCGATTCTCCTTGTCTCGACGTGAAATCTCCTGATACTTCTGGACAGTTATTCAGATTCGTGTTAATGTAATTTTAGATTTACGCTCATGTTCGTAATGTATAGTGTGGGAAAAGTTTCCAACGAGAGTTTGATCAAGGATGAAATATCGATGAGAGATAAACGATGATTTGAGAAATTTTTGTACATTTATCGGGTTCGGAATTTTCTGTAATTTGTGACTTTAGGTTTAGAATTTTGTGTAATTTACGATTTTAGGGTTGGAATTTCGTGGAATTCGTGATTTTGTAGTTAGAATTTTGCGCAATTCGTGATTTTAGGTTTAGAATTTTGTGCAATTCGTGATTTTAGATTTAGAATTCTGTGTTTTTTTAAATTTTATATTTAGAATTTTTCTTTTTTCTGATTTTATATTTAGAATTTTCTGTAATTTGCGATTTTAAGTTTATATTTCTGTGCAATTCGTGATTTTATATTTAGAATTTTGTCTAATTTGTGATTTTAGATTTATATTTCTGTGCAGTTCGTGATTTTAGATTTAGAATTCTGTGTTTCTTTTTAAATTGTATATTTAGAATTTTGTGCAATTTGTGATTCTAGGTTTGGCATTTTGTGCAATTTGTGATTCTATATTTAGAATTTTGCGTTTTCTTGATTTCACATTTAGAATTTCCTGTAATCTGTAATTCTAGATTTAGAATTTTGTACAATTTGTGATTTTAAATAAATCAAATTTAATCTCACTTTTTAAACTTCACGTCGTTTTTAGACAAGCATTTTCGTTACGTCACTGGCTTAAATTAATGCAGCATAATTTTGTTTCTGACGACCGTATTAATGCCTATAAAGATTTAATAGACGAGGTACACAGTAATTGGGTTAATAACTTAAGAAACGAAATACCTGGAAAGTAGGTTTCGGTAATAGTAAACGATGTTCTTTACCCCAGCTAGTACTTACGCAAACAACTGTTAAATACCTTGGCTCTTACAATAAGAAACAAATGCCTTCCTTACTATTTCAAAGAGCGAATATTTCTCAACCTTATTTAAAAAAAAAATCTACGTAATTTGAACGAATTTTCAAAATTTTTCGACAACGAAATCTTTCTCTTCAAAGGACAAAAAGGAAACACTATAAAAAGGTGCAGAAAAGGATAAGTAGAAAGGTGAGAAAACAGTGGAGCATTTTTCTCGAACGAGGCGAAGATAAAAGAAGTGTTATCCGCTTATCAGAGAAAGCTTCTTATCTCAGGACTAGCTTCTAATCCTCTTATCGTAATTTATTGGATAAATAATTTTCTGCCGTTTATATTTATGGAAAACAACGGGGAACGAATTTATCGACGAATTCTTTTCCAACGAAACAAATTTCATTTTTCACGTTTTGTCAAAATTTTCATTTTCACCATTTCATCGATGTATCGTCGAAAATATTAACAGAGAGTACAAGCTATTTTCTATACGTAATAGTATAATTTATATTTTCATACTAAACTTGCTTAGTATGAAATATTTACTACTAAATCTGTTAACTGCGGAAGACGAGTTAACTCGTCGTTAGTTGGCCAATGCTGCAAATAAAATAGTTTATTTATTAAGGAACTATTCATTTTTAAATCCACTCTTGTATTAAACGTAAAATAAATTATACTCAAATTTGCAAAAACCACGACGAAGTCAGTGGCTATCATTTTTAATTATAAACTGGAGAGATTCAATTTCTGTTTGAGAGATAAACCCAGTTAACAGGTGAAATTGCTTATTTGTCGAACAAATTCTACCGTTAAACATACTTACAAAAATTTTCTATAAAATCAACGCGAGAATGAAATATCGTGTAATTTGAAACGATACAGTAATTGTTACAACGTGAAGCTAAAATCGTTCTACAGTATGAAAATGAATTTCTCGACGCGCTTAACGACAAAGAGAAAAAAAATTCGTAAAAATACGTGGGAATGTTTTCAATGAGAGATTCGACGCGGAATGGTTCGATAACGTTGCAAATGTCCCTCTGTTGGTGTATCAAAACGTACGAGGCTTGTCACTTACGTGAATGGAAATGTTATCGGCAGTTAAATGACTAAAACGTTTGGAGGGATGCGCGTTAATTCAGCCGGCAACGGGTAAGTTTTTATTTCGGCTCGTTTCCACGTCACGAACACTATTCTTGATGCGCATATGCGATAATCTGGGTTTTCGCTTGTCACGAAAGGGTAGTTTTAGTATTCCTCTTTCTTTCTTTTCTCCCCCGCTTCGAGTAGAATTACACGTGACAGTTTTTACTCGGCGGACGTAATGGAGGTCTGCGTAATGGTGTGCTGGAAATTCTAAAGTATTATTCGGAATAACGTCGCTTGCGAAATAGAAGAGGTATTAGAAAGATGTATTTGGAGATTTTTGCTTTTTCATCTGCCGTTGCTTTCTCGTGCGAAAATGTTCAAAACGGTCTTGTGTGGATACTTAAGAAAAATTGTCGAAGATAAATTATGCAAGTTGCAAGTTTGAAAAAATTTGAAAGAAGAAGTTAACCATTTAACCTATAACAACGTGGTCAGACTCGTGGCAGAGATTCTGGCGAAGATGAAAAATAGGTTATATCGATAAGAAAAATTCGTCGTAATTCTAACTTTCGTTTGAATTCCTAAGACTGAAAATTGCAAAATATAATCAATCTGCAACAGATTAACCTTTATTACCCGATACAGTACCAAAATAGCAAATGGCTGACGCTTAGATGCACAGTCAGAAAAGCAATCATATGTTAAGGGGCTAATTTAAGTAGAAGATTTTATAATGCTCAACGATCATGTGTGAATATTTAAGAAAAATTGTTAAAGTGCGAGTTTTAAAAAATTTGAAAAAAGAAGTTAATTTAAATAGAAGATTTTATAATGCTCAACGGTCTTATGCGAATATTTAAGGAAAATTGTTGAAGACGATAAATTATGCAGGCTGCAAGTTTGGAAGAATTAAGAGAAGTTAATGAATTTTAGAGAAGCTGATTCAAACAGATTTTATAATGTTCAATGGTCTTCTGTGGATATTTAAGAAAAATGGTTGAAGAGGATAAGAAGATAAATTATGCAAGCTGCGAGTTTGAGAAAATGTAGAAAAAGATCTTAATGAGTTTTAGAGAAGTTGGTAGGAGATTTTATAATGTGAAATGGTCTTATGTGGATATTTAAAAAAATGTTTGAAGAAGATAAGAAGATAAATTATGCAAGCTGCAGGTTTCGAAGAATTTGAAAAAAGAACTTAACGAATTTTGGAGAAGTTAATTTAAATAG